CCTCGCCCGTAGAAACCGATCGGGGCGAGTGCAGTAATTGCCGGTAATTAATTTACTAGGGAAAAAGATGGTGAAAGGAAAATTGGCGCATATGAAAGGGTACTTCTTCGACTAGTTTATCGACGTCCTCCCCTTAACATCGCATTAAAAACCGCGAAGTTTCGCCGGGGTCGACGTGGAATGGCTTCTGTCTTGCCGCAAGCTGCACGGGAAGCGAAATAATTCCCGATAGCCGATTAATTTCCGTAAGCGAACCTGGTGCTTTCACTTTCCTCGGCGCGGCACTTCGGATCGCGGACCGAGGAAGATTCCACCTACGCGGCACGACCGGAAGAAGAGCGTCGGCTAATTAACGGCAAGAGCGAACGTAAACTCGTCCGATGGGGACTTTCTCGAGACAAGTCGATCGCCTTTGTCTCCTGTAAGAGCGATCTTCTCGAAAGACGTCCCACCGCCCGAATGGGATCGAAGAAACGTTCGGTATCTATCTGTACTCTCGGGGACAACATCGTGAATAGGTCGCGGTCCGAGTTCCGCATTGTTTTCCTCTAATTTACATTTTACATATTATCCATATTTTTCAGGAATTTCCCCGTGGTCGTGGCTGTCTCTTCTTCAATTTCTGCATTATCAGGAGACCAAGTGGGATCGATCAATGATATTTATCTGCACTTTAAAAGACAACGCCATGGAAAGGTCGCGTTTCAATCTATAGGTCGAGTTCCATAGGTTTCTTTCCTGTAATTTCCCTTTTTCATTGTTTTTTTCAGGAATCTCTCCGTATATTCGACCATCTCGTCCTCAGTTTCAACTTCACGTGGAGACCGCAAGTCACATTATATCGGAAATCCGAGTGAACGTGAAGAGGAATCGAAATCTTAAGTCGAGGCATTCCACCTGGAACCGTAGGTCACCGCGAACGGCACGACGCCGCGTCTGCAAGAAGATGGCATAGCTTTCACTCTCGGTGTCTCTCGAGAAACACACGTGCACACGGATGCACGTAATATATTACGCGTGTGTTTAAAAATGTAAATGTATATATGCGGTGTATGTATTTATACCCACATCCGTGTAACATCCGATTTACGGTAACCACGGGTACGTGCGATGACGTACACGTGAATGTATATCCTTGTAAACGTGCGTACGTCGACGCTGCGGAATCCTCGCACATTGCGCGTACCAGCTCTTATGGGCCTACGTCGGTCTCATATTTGTCCGTAATTTGCGGGACTCGAATGGCGGCATGCGCAACTCTCGTGGGAGATTCTCGCACGAGAGTACCGATGTAAGTGAGAGAGAAAGAGTGGAGGCCAGAGCGTTATGCGTTGTACTAATTAGTCGAGCCCAGGAAATAATACTCAGGAGAGAGAATAATACAACTGACCCGGAGAGAGCTCGTTGGGATCGATCGTCGCCGCTATAAAGACGAGCCTGGTGATGATGGATAGATTTTGTTTCCTCTCGACCTTACTCTAGGCCTCTGTCTTCCTTTCCCACACGTGTTAACGTGTTAATGACTCGCCATTTAGACGAAAAAGGCGCGCATACCTTTTTCTAAGGATGGCTGGGCGATCGTTAAGGCGTTATGTATCGCCCTGGGGTATAAGATAGCTCGTAGAGTCGCTAATATATTTTTAGCACATTGCTCATGGCTATAGAGCTCCGAAAAATGTATTAAGTGCCGCGTCGATTCCGTCGAGAATTTTCATGGCCTAAGGGGAGGCTTGAAGCGATGCTAAGAGAGGAAACGCGAGGATGAAAAGTCCCCTTGCAGAGGATTATGTCAGCGCACCGAGAGTAATCGTTTAACCGAGGGGAATACGTTCATTCGACGGGTCTTGCGTAATCAAATGCGGTACTTTGTTTTGGATATCGTAACGCGAATCACGCCGGCATAGAGCCGGGACGTGACATCGCGGAAGCGAATCGATTCACTTGGAAAGATCCAATGATCTCCAGCTCGGCGCTGATAATACGATCTCTTGTAATCGGGGAGCGTATCTCGCGATCCGAAGTGTCGGCGAAAAACTTAACGTCGAATCGAGGTTGGCTTTTATCGTGGGGAAAATTTTCCACGGTCACGGAGCGGTTTCTCGAGCGGAGAGAACACCGGCCAGGCGCGGACACGGAATCCCTTCTTTAAAGGGATTTTTTAATCTCATCATACACATTTCCGTGTAATGAAAATTTGTTAAAATCATGTACAGCGTTGTAACGAACCTCCCTTCCAAAAATTATTATTACTTACACTAAGGTATTGTGAAGGACTCATTTCTATTCATATTCAAACGTCAAAATATTTATAAAACTTTTCTCTAAACTGGATACATCGAATCATATGCAGCTCCAGCACGTGTTTACGGAAGTCCCAAGAAACAACGCGATACTCATGAGATTTTATTAAAAAAAAAATATATTTTTATTTATCCCAGACTAGGACCAAGGATACATATTTTTTATTTGGAAAAATGAAATTTCATGAGCCTCAGCGTTCTTCCTTAGGACTTCCATAATCACGTGTTAAAGTTTCAAATTATTCAGTGCGTCCCGTTTGGGGAAATGTTTTATAAATATTTGGACGTTCTATATGTGACACAGAATGACCCTTTCATATCACTTTAAGGGAGTCATCTCTGCATCTTGCGTTTCGCAGGATTAGCGAATGTAGACTCATCCGGCTCGACCTGGAAGCTTCGGAATCGACTGTCGCGAAATCGAAGCGAATCGCAGCGGCACGGCGAGTTTGTTAGCGAAAGAGAAGTGGTGCAACTTTGACATTCTATGGCACGAGCCCGTGCACGAGAGCACGTGTCCTCAGTTGCAGCTCAAATGCGCCCGTTGCGAACGAGTGCATCACTCTCGATGCACTAGAGCAACTAGTCGAGAGCTGGAGCATCCGAATGCGGATGAGCCTTGCGAAAACCTTGCAAAATTGGAATCCACCAGGCAACTTGTCTCCGGATTCCGAGAGCTTGTTTGCTCCAAGCGTTTTTCTATGGTGCCCTCGGTGGTCTCGCTTCCATCAATTCCATCGTTCCTAGAAAACCATGCATTAAAATCCCTATGTCAAAATGCGCTTCCATTGGTATACTAACTTGTCCCATAAGTTCGATGCCATCATATTGCATTTGAAGAAATTATTTCAAGAAGTAGGATTTAATAATCTCACTCGATAAGCAATTATCCTTCGCTGAGAATAATTTCTCCCTACGGTTAGGGTAGCTCTTTGAGTCCTTTGGACAGAAATATAATATTAGTATGTAATTAATATTTGAACGGCATAAAAATATGGAAAGACCCGATATTAAAGAGGTCTCTAGCGGCGCGATAACGAGGTAACGATTACGCGATCGTAGATTTCGCGGCGACGAGGCTGGGGCGTAATGAGACAATGAAATAATTCGATTGCGTCTGGTGTGAAATTCCCCAGGGTTTCCCACGGCATCTGGAGAGTTCCCTTCCGTTCTCGGAACTCGTTCTCCAGGTCTCATCGATCGATTTCTTCGGGTTCCGGTGACTTCCGGGGACTTCCGGCCGCGCGCCGAAGAGGCGCCATTGTTTCCCTCTTCCCTCTGCGCTTTCGCACGCATAACTCTCAGTAAAACCGCGACTAATCGCTCTACATTCCCGACTTCCCGGGGAATAATAAAGAGGCTCTCTCGAGGCATCTACGCTCGCATAATGTGGGAGAGATCCTGAAGATCGGTTCTCGAATTATGAGCGCCATTTCACCTGGTTTCCGCCAAGATGGCGCAACACTCATCGGGCTTATCGAAACCTAGGGCGCTCGTTAAACGGAGATTAATCATCGCAACACTCCGGATTCTCCGAAATGTTTCTAGATATAAACTATGAGACCTCTAGAGACCTCTGGGAGCCACGAAGCATTTAATTCCGCCATTTGTATCTCGTCTCATTTTCTTGTATCAATGTATATCATGGCGCTGGGGAACAAAGTGCGTAATTGAGCGATGGAATATTCCTTGCTTTCGCAAACGCGGAGATATGTGACCCGATGTTTTTATGGTTTTATATTGGCCAATTATTTGTAATAAATGACTATAAATCGGACAGCTATTCGGCCCTGTGTTGTTGTATTGTCGTTTGTTCGATTAGACGCAGACACCATTGGAAAGGGAAGTTCCATTGCGCGTCGTTAAATGGGACATGAATTTTACATTACTCGGACCAACGGCCGAGGAATCCTCCTGCAACTCGGGAGAGAAAGTCAAATAACGACGTGTAACCGCCGCGATTGAAATTCTCCCATGTGTGTAGGAAAATTATGAAATCGCGAATAACTCCATTGGAGGAATAACTGCAGTTTATCAGCGCGATGCGCTCTGATTGCGGTTGGAATATTTTCAGCCTCATGAATGAGTTCCATTACGTTTACTATTTCCTGATGTGAAATTTAAATTAGGAGTTTCAATGTACTGAGAATGAAATGTGGAACTTCTACGTGTTTATTATTATGCGGAATTAAGAATAGAAATGTGGATATGTAAAACAGCTCTTGACCTGCTCCTGATTGTCACGAATTTTTGGAACTGGTGTACGCGCCATCTAGCAGTGCCTTTGCGACTTATATCCACTTCTTGAATCCGTTTCAGATCTATTTAGTATTGTGTTATCGACATTGAAATATAATTTCAGTGGAGATTATCGAACATCGCTAAATCTTCCAAGAAGATACAGTGGCGCCCTCGATCGAGTTAACAGAACTACGTTCATAAAGCAGTCGATATGTAGTGCGCCAAAATTATTTTTCATACTTTTCCCCAAAATAAGAAATTCTTTTGATTAACGTCCGTTAGTTCAGCAGTGATATTTATTTCGTCAGTAATCGTACAAATTAATTCCGCGCATTAACCGTAATCTGCAGTTTAGTTTGTCGAACCTATTGACGATAATACTTAACTCTTGATCTCTGCAAGTGCAGGAATTAACGAGTGCACTAACAAATTACGAAGTACGGCGATATGCAAAACGTGTTTTTCTATCACAGTAATACAGATTATATTTAAGCAATAACCAATATACATGCACGATCTCGTATCGATAACGCTATTACGTTCTAATTCCAGCTTAACGACTGCATAAATACAATTCCGATGGAATGGACGAGCCGAGTGCATCTTGACATCCTCGAGACACCGACCTAGTATCGAAAGCTCGACAATATGCATACCAGTGGATGCACTATCCCTAATTCGTTACCGTACTCCTAAACGTAACACTTAGGATACATAAATTAATAAGAAATCAGACATTGTAGCTTTTTGAAAGTGTACATCAATGTAACAATCCCTAGCTTAGACTTAGTCTAGACGCGCAGCCTGGTCACACACTTTTCTGGCCTTGCTGGGAGCAATCGTTTACTGCAAGGCAAGAAAATGTCAGGGCCGATTAATAATTAATAATTAATCATTTGTATCGATGTACAGCGACTGTTACAGGTTGGGCTCCACACATCGAGGGAGTATGTGTATCAGTAGTACCCTTTGCACGAAGGTTCCTTTCAGTCGTTCCCATCTACACGGGAGGTAAGTACTGATTAGTTTCGGAAGGTAATTCGCTCTTCTGGCAGTCACAGGGTTGTTGGACATGGCTATGACTTTCGACATGTTGTTCCACCCTGGGCGGCAAATATGGCTCATGAGAGTGTGGAGTGACTTCATTCGAGGGTGGAGAACTCATCATCTTCTTGATCCAGTCGGTGTCGATCAGGGCAAACGTGGCGACCTTTGACAAAAAGATAAACTCAATTCTCTATAATACGTCCATTTTTTAAATTAAATGGTTAATCCAAGTCTTGGTCTCGAAATAGCTGAAATCTATGGTGGTACCTGATTGGTAGGCAAACATCCCGTGTCTTGGCTGTAGACTCCGGTAAGTTCATAGTTTCCATCCCCACGGTCGCATGCCAAAGGTCCACCGACGTCAACCTGGCACATGTTGTTGCTTTGCAGATGGGGTTTTGCACAAACCAGGGTTTCGTCAAAGTCTATGTGAGATTCGGCATTTTGGACGCGTTGACTGCACTCGTCAGACGGCAACAGATCCACATCGATGCCATGCATCAAAGCTCCAGCGACATTGACTGTAAATTGAAGGTTAGAAATTTGTTTATAAGCGAAAAAAACAATAGATTGATATATATTAAAACTTGTGTTTTAGAGATTCACCTTGCAGGACGGTCTTCCCCCATCCAGTAGCTATGCACTTCTTTCCTGGCTGAGGTTGGGGTTGCTCTCCGATGCACAAAGTGTCGACGTGCTGGTCCAACTTCAGGGGATGTTCCAGGAAAAGCATCGCCAAATCGTAGCTAGGACCACCGGAATAATATCCAGGATGTGGCACAATAGAGGCCACGTTTACAATCTCGAAAGGAAGAGGCTCCTCATATTTCAGCTCGTAGCCCAGCTTCCACTCTCCAGATTTGATGGACACTTCATTGGCTCCGAACCTGACCAAAGAATACTTATAAGTATCCCCGAGACATTTCCAAGGAAAAATTAAATTAAAAAGTGCTTACCCTTCCACACAGTGAGCAGCAGTCACTACGACATTTGGGGCCACAATAGCTCCAGAACATAATAATTTTCGATCCCGGTTCGACAGCACCATTGCTTGCCATGGGATCTCACCAAAAGCAACGTCGACGTCGCTTAAGTCACTTGGGCGTTGTACCTTGATTGAGAAGATGACGTTGACAATAAAAATGGAAACATGGCGAGCGACGATGAAGAGGGAAAAAATAACAGCCACAATGAACACGACTTACTACTCATTTCACCCTGAACATATAACATGAATTATGAACACAATGAAATATGCGACATATAGATTTTAATCACTCGGTCCATACGGTGTGCCAATCGATGTCGGTGTCATGAGTCACAAGAATGTACAATATGAATCTAAACTCGAGGTGTAAACAGAACATGAGGCGATTTCGACAAATGTACACGACCAATGCAAGCAAGAGAACAAAGAGCAATTATGGAGAGAAGGCGAGAAGATCCGCAGTCCTGTTTGCGTTTCAATCCGATTCATTAGTACTTGAATTACCGCGATCACGGGACTGGGTCTTTTTTTTAAAGCAAGGAGTCCTCTCTCCACTCTTTTCGCTTTTATTTCTTGTATTCTTATATACTCATATTAACAGATTTGGCACCGACTACTCGACCAGAGACACCACTCTGGAGGTCTACAAGTTGACCCACCGCAATTGGAGGATCTCGCACCACGTCCTGACCTAGACACTACCTACATCAAGTAGTAAATCGCTGATGGCAGCAGAGTGAACATAACGAACTTACTTTGTTCTTCAGTCCACACTGAGACCCAGGGGTATGGGGTGTGATAAAGACAGGGCTCTGGTTGCTGGAGTCCGGATGATAGCTGGTCTTGACCGGGGATTTGCGTCCCGATGACGAATCCGGCAAACTAGGGAAGGGAGCTACGGGTGGTCTGGTCGGGATCTGAAGAAAAGTTGGTGGAGGAGTGTCCGGAATGGGAGCTGGCGATGAGAATTCAGGTGCAGGGGTCGTGACCTGAGGCTTGTGGCTTGGTCTGAGGAAAGGATTAACTGGCAGTTGGGGTAACTGGGGCAGGTTGAAATGCGGCCTGGAAAACGTCTTGGTCGGCTGCAGGGGCTTCGTTTGCTGCGGCGTCTTAGTAGAGGGCTTCTTCGGTGGCCGGGTCTTGGCGATGTTGAGGAAAGTTGGGAAGCCTTGCTCGTCGAACCCGCCCGAGTAGTTGGCCGGAAGATTGCCCGTGGGCCACGGGTCGACGTAATTGGGATCACGGCAGCACTTTCCAATGATTCCGTTATCCGGATTCTTGCATGTCTGCAAGGTACACCTCATGAATGCATGCACCTACCTGTACGTATCTACATGCACGCATGCATTGTTTGTTTTTCTTTTAGCAGTCAATATCGAGAGCGAGGAGATAAGTGGAGGCCCTGTCGCGCACGTGGAAAAAGAATTGACAGCCGTAACAAGAAATTTTACTTGCTCCTACAAACGTGAGCACTTGAAAATGGACCAGAAAAATGTTTGCTAAATCGACAACAGGAAGGATTACTTCACGGGGGCAACACAAATTCTATTCACCGTTGCAATATCATTTTCTAGCAACAACAAATTGCATATCGCTCATTCGTTCGAGTAGTGGCAATGATTTCTACTTGCGATTTCTAGCTGATTTCTACCTGATTTCCAACATAAAATCCACAATTTCTCGAGTAGAAGGATGGGATCACCCAAAGAGGGCTGGATCCTTCCTGAAGGAAGTGGACTTACGCTCAAAGGGACTCGTCTCAGGATCTGCTCGCTGGTGAGCGTAATCGGCTCCGTGCTGATAACTCCCCCCATGGTGCAGAATTTCTCCTCGACGCAAATCAAGGCGGCAGCACATCCGACCTGTGGCGGGACTTCTGGAGCCGGTGGGAAGGCCGCTGGAGGTAGCACTTTCGAATCCGCATCGCTGGCACCACCTGCTTTTGACACACATCTTGAGAAATCGAGGAAGCGTTTTTGCAGAAACGTGAGAGCGAACCATACCGTCGTTTTCCCGGGGTGGTTGAGAAAAGGAAGGAACGTTGCTGGACGAATCGCTACCCAGGGGTGGCAAGTATGGCATATTCTCAGCTCCTGCATTAGGGTACACGTAACCAGGCTCTCCAGTGTTCAGATCTCCTCCAAACTTATCTGCAGTCTGCACGTGTTGGTCGAACACGCTCGTTGCGGTTTGCTTATGGACACCTGGAAAAACCTCCCCTAAGTTAGACTCTGATATATCGACAAATAGCGTCTGGAAATATTTAATATAAATAGTTTATGTTCACCTTGCTCGTAGGTGCTTCCAGACTTATGGCCGAAGAGGTCACTGGTCCCGGAAGTGGTCACATGGATCAGGCCATTTCCGATCGTGGTGGCGGTGGGATTTTTGGTACCCACCACGTGGATTAAGCCATCTCCACTCTGGCTTCCGGAGATCGCTCCATTTCCGAAACTGGTTTTGATCGTGGACTGACCAGTTGGACCCTGAGTCGTATATTGGACGCCATGGCTCGATATGTCAAACTGTCCCTCCTGAGACTGCTCCTGCCCGTGATGGGTGCTTTGATGACTGCCCTCTTCGTGTCCTGCGTACGAAGACGATTCCGCAGAAGAAGTCGAAGAGAAATCGACCCCGTGGACGATCCCAACTTGGGTTGGAACCCCTGAATAGCCTTGAATGGTGCAGCAAACCTGACGGTTGATGTCGCACTGCTGAATCTGCAAACAAAATTATGCGCTTTCATTAGCGGCCGATTTACTACGCGAGGAGTCATTCGCACGTCGAAGGGGAAAGCTTTAATCGCTGGTAATCCTGGTAATCGATGCAAAGTTTCCAGGCCTACAAAATTACGCAACGACGTTATCAGCATTGCACCGGCTTTATTATCTCCCGTCGATATAGCATGTGGTTCCTGAGCATGTGCGGAGTTTCTTCAATTTCTTCACTCTCCTGGGAACCCCTTTCACCCGGCTGATCGAACTCTTTTATATAACGCCTTGAGGAATAATTTTATTCCTCCCTGACTTTTTTCTCGCCACCAGAGCTAATGCCATTAATTGCCAATCAAATATCTGCTCCGAATTATCGACGTTGGAAGGAACGGTGTACCGCTTCGGTTCTCTACCGTTTTGGTCCTTTTTGGATTTCGATTCCGCGTCCTGGATTTTCTCACATTCTTTTTTATTCGACGTCCGCACGTGGTAGAAAGCTAGGGACCCTGTGCCAATTTGCATGTCCAATATCCAAGCTGATTATTTCGGTCTAAAATCCATTCCCTTGGCAACAATAAATCCAACGCGCCGACATTTTCAACGATCTTCTCCTTTAACCTGATCGCCCGATATTCCTATGCATAATGGATAAACAAATTTTGACTTGGACCGGAATTATGCTAATTACTGCTGCGACCGACATAAGACACGTCCGCCAGATTCGGATACCTCTACTAATTTCTACTGAATTTCACAAGACACTCCAAAACATGTCGAATTGCAAGACAAGTTGCGAAACTCGATGATCGGAATTCAATACAAAAAGGGTCACTAGAAACAACGAATTAAAACTGAACAAGCTAGCTGATCGATGATGAGGCTTAAAAACTGACATTTCACCAGGTGCGCTCACATCTCGGATTCTCATTATTCCTCAAGGTAACTGCATGGAAATGTGTGGAACTTCTCGATTGACCGACTGGACAAAAAATCGTCGGGTAAAATTTCAAGTTTCCAGAAAAAAAATCGACCTTTCCCACACCTGCACGACGCTGCTCATAATCATCCAAGGATTAAAAAATGATATCAACTCCATAATTGAGATAAATTACCGGATTATTCCTCAAGGTAACTTCATCTATATCTGAAACTTCTCTATTGACCGACTAGACAGAAAATCATTTAGTCAAATTCCAGGCTTCAAGCAAAAATCGACCTTTCTCAGCAGTCCTACTTGACGTCACTCGTCATCGATCCAAAAATATATAAAAAAAAAAACTGGCGCCAACTACTCCAATTGAGGTGAACTTTTTGAAAAACATTGCCCAATTCTCGAGGTTTCGTAACGTTCCTCGCGAGGCTCGAGGGGCATGGGCAATAAATATAAATCGTCGAAGGTTGTTGGGCGACCTTAGGTGCGATGAACCTACACAAGGTGAACCAGTGTCGCATCGAGAGAGCGAAATCGTCTTTCCGAGGGAACCCGTCGTCCTTAGAGACGAGATCGCTCAATTCGAGAGCTCCAACTTGACATGGACATTCGACGGATTCTGTGGACCTTCGGGCCTACAAGAGTTGAGAAACTACATTGACAAACGCGTCCACCAGGAGCTACCGGTTCTGCCTCGACTAGGGAGCCTCCCAGATACACGCCTAATGGATCCCCATTAAATAGAGATAAAATGTACATTTCGGCCGTTTTCAGACATCGAGGAGATACCCACGCTCCCGGATTTATCTGTTGCACGTGAATGTACATGGACTTATAGGAAAAATAATTCACCCAGTGGCGCACCTCGTGGAACTTCGTAATACTACATGGCACCTCATGGCACCTGCTAAAATGTCTAATCTGAAGCGGATGTTGGAATTAATAGGTACATTTTAATCAAGAAATTTTGGGTATCGGCATACGTGTACCCGTGTTCGTGGTTTGTGCAATTAGTTTTTCATGTAAGATTCTAGAGACACCGACAGGAAACATGATTAACATCTCGCAAGCCGCAGTTGTGGTTAGCGGCGTCCCATTTATCCAATCACCAGCTGGGGTTGGATGCCATTCGAGTGCGCTTTTAAAACGTCGCTGTAAGCTGGACGAAACTGAGTGATTTTACGGGCGTAATTATTTATGCTCGGCCTAAGGGTCAGTGCTAGAAGACGAGGATAAGCAATCGACCGCCCGGCGCTGTTTTATTCGTAATAAAGTCCTAAGTCTTTGCCAGCGGATCATCTTAAGAGGATCCCCGGTGAGTGCCGCGGGAAGAAAAAAAAAATCGGTAACCTTTCCTGGAGCCAATTATGCTAATGTGATTATCATTTCTTTTCAGAACCGGAGGCGTTCAGGTGCATTATTTTCCCGTGCAGTTGCACGGCTCGTCCTGGACGCGAAAGCGGTCTGGACCAAAAAGTATGAAAAGGGGAGAGAGAAAAATCCCGGACACTCTTGTTCGGGCACCTCCGTTGCGAAATTTAGCTCGCTGGTTAAGAAACCATGTCAAGTTCCCCATTAGATACATCACGAATTCGATGTTCCGCCTCGACTAGTGGGGGGTCCTGATGTTGCCCCGTTGTCGCTTGTCACCCGTGAAAAATGCGTGGCGCTTCGCGAATGCGTGGGCGTTAACTCGAGTCTCTCCTGGAATCTGATACCGCGCTTTCCTTTATTTTTAACCCCCGACCCTCCCGCCTTTCTCTCACCTGAGGTACTTGTGCAACGAGCATATTTATTCTCTTCTAATTGACCGTAAAACCCGCGACAACGCGCCTGCGCGACGATCCTTGCTCCACGCCCAAGGATTCTCCCCACGAGGACGGGAGTGTTAAGGATAACACTCCTTGACACGGTCGAGAGATTACGCACTCCTGTCTCGTTATCGCGGGCACCCATTTTGGAAAGACGATGCGATGTACCGAATTCTTTACGATGATTTTGTCATACTCATTTTTATAAGGACGATGCTATATACCGAATTCATTACGATAATTCTGTCATACTTATTTTTATAAAATCGATGTACCAAATTTAATTCTCGGTTATGAAATAAAGAAAAATTAGGGAATTACTGCGTGTACAAGTGTACGTAGAGGTCATAGAAAGTAGTTTTGTTTAGGGAGGTAACGGACACGAAGGTCGGTCTCTCAAGACGATTTCATAATCCTTTACCACAGGGATTCCCCTCTGGCAATAACGCGCGCTCAAGAAGAATCACGATGATGTACGATTCATAATATGTCCTTTATTACGGTACCCATATGGTCACATACGGGTACAAATCTCCATGAGGATAATAAAAGTGGACTAAACGGCGAGCGCGGCATGTCCCTTAATTTATGGATCTTTCTCGTTTAACGCCTACCGTTTTCTCGAATCGCAATCGAGGATTCCTTCTGAAAACACTAATATTCAATAATATCCCATAATATTCGCTCTCCGAGGAAAAGTAAGACCACTTTTAACGGCGCCCGAAATCCTCAAGCCGAAATTTTCACCGTCTCCGATGTTGTTTATTTTTGTTTTTGCGAATTAAACCGGAGGCGCAATAAACAGATGTGAGTTATATTTAGTGCCGGCAATACCCGGAATTTTTACGTGAAACGAATTATGTAATTCAAGGCCCATAATGTGTTCTTTATTACGAGACCCATATAGTTACATATGGGTGCAAAGCCGGCCGAGGATAATAAAAGCGAGTCGGACGAGAATCCTTCTTTAGGTTTATGGTTCTTCCGTTTTATGCCTACACTAAGAAAAACGATTAGTTGACTGAAATAAATATATATATTGTTACCAGAATCATACATAATCGCAAGAAAGAATTATTTCTTCGCGAATAAAAATTGATACAGTCGATTTATACGAATTTTATTTACCCAATCTGACATTTGGACGTACTTGACCGCAGGATTGTTTTTTTTTTCATTGCATATTTCTTTGCCAATCAACTTTTTTTTTCTCAGTGCATCGTTTCATCGAGTCGTATTTATTTCATCCGGGTTTTTCGAGTAGAGGGCCGGTAATAAAAAAATGTCGAAAATGTCAATAGCAATCGAAGAAGTCGAGGTCCTTGACTGACTTTTATGCCGATAAAACGGAACGTGCTTTCGAAAAATCCGTCGAACGATGATTTGTATGCATATCCTGCTTAGCGTACGACCAAAACAGTTATATAACCGCCCCGTAGGAGCAAACGTTTATTTAAACGCCACGAATTCAGACATATTTCACGTTAACGCCTGACAGATTCTTCATATGTGTGTATCGAAGCCTCTCCGAGTGCTCTCCTGCGAGAAATCGTGGCGATGTATGTTAATGTATGCAAATCTGCCCTTTCTCTCTCCCCCTTATTCCCTCAGATGAATATGCGACCATTAAACGTTTAATTAGTAAAACTGCCGGTCATTTGGCTAGGTCTCTCGGGTTCACCATTAACGGGCCCAAAATCGCCGACTTTCCAAACCGAAGAGCGAGTTTCTCGAATTTCTGAGGTCAAAGTTCGCCCAAAATGTAGAAAGAGAAAAAAAAGTAACATCCGGCGAAATAATATTAATATATCGCAAAGGTATTTGTAAAAGTGCCCATGTGAATTAACACAATCATTCGCTATTTCGTCGCCACGATAGATTACAGTAAAAGACATTTAATTCAAGTAGAAATGCCCTAATCGTTCCAATTAATGCGTAGTAAAAATAATTTTCAACACTTGGCAGCGTGACGTTTGTAACTTTGTCCGTTTTCGATTTATCTGCGTGAAAGTTCGGTTACGAATTGTGAGAAAGAAAAAAATAAATAAAAACGATGTGTGTAAAAATGAATGTAAATTTCCATGGATTTTTGTCAGTGTAGCGGATCTTGGTGGGTGATTTTTTTTTCATGTCTTTTGGAGGGTCCTGACGGTTTTAGGATAAATTTAAGAGACCTCGGCGACCTCGTCGTTAATTATTTATCGCAATAGGAGGCGACAATGACGCACGAGGGAGCGAACCCACGGCTCGGGAAATTATCATTACGGACTTTACGATCGAGGAGAGACTTAACGGGCGATATGGCGAATCGGGTTAATCGCGGAAGCATCGGCCCGCCCATAAATTAACTGCTGGAATTCCGTAACGCTTGTATAACACGACCGAGTCCCTTTTTAGGCCCCGAAGATGAATTAAGGTACGCCGGTAATGCGAGAGGCCGCGGCTACTTATTTCGGGGACCGGACGTGACCCTCTGTGCACTCGCCGTTCGAAAGTGATTTTTTAACGTTTTATCAATTTATCTTCGTTTCTGAGGGAACCCGAGTGCGCGGACTTTCAATTATCACTGGATGCGAGTTGTCACCTTCGGGAAATGCCGGACCTCGCGGCTGGAATTTCTGATAATGCAGCCGACTTGCGATGCATGTAAAGCGACATGCAGTGAGATAATCGTGCACTGGTCTTTTCCCATCCTTAAAGTGCTCGCCATTGTTTTCGACGATGACATAATTCTTCACTGAATCACGACTCGACTAGCTAAGACACCTCACTGTTCTTAAAATAAGCTGTAGGATTTTTTTTCCCCCATTAAGCATCACATACCATAAAAGTACCCCGAGAAGAAGAATTCATTGAATAGTCCCAATGAAATATTTTCTCAATTTAAATATTAATTATTTGACTCGAGCAGACTCTAATAATTTGTTCTAATTCTGAAGAAAGGTGAGAACTTCCAGAAAGTGGAACGTTGTTCCTTTTTTATTACTATCGTCATTGAAAAGGGGAGAATAATTTCTTTGGCGAATTATTTTCCACCTAAGGTGTTCCTTTCTTTCAGTTCTCCGTAACTCGTAAGTTTCTCTTCCGCCGATGACAGTGATTTTTTAAATGTTTTCGACTTACCCCAGATCTGACTTGCATGATGCCAGCTCCGTTGGTGTTGACAAAGCCATTATGACAAAGATTCTTGTTGACGCAAATCCTGCCAGCCCCGCTGCAGCTGACAGTGAGTCCACCTTCTGCATCGGGACGTCCTTGTTGGGAATGATCAGGTACCAAATTGGTGCCGAAGAAGTCTGGCGTCTGCGTGATCTGGCTCTGATCTATGGGGATCTGTGCAGGTTGCTGAGAGTGGGCCCCATCATACCCAGGCGAGGTGGGAGTAATCAAGGGGATAACGGGAACCACAACGGAAGATCCTGATCCAGGTCTCAAGAAAGGATTGCCAGGAGCCACGTCAATGCCAGCGGTGCCTGTGGTTCCAGGATAAGTCGGGGTCTGAGGAACGTGAGGAAGCTGGGTGGTCCCGGAACCGGCACCAGGCTGAAGGAACGGATTTTCAAGGCCGATCACATGGGGAACCTGGGCGTTGGAGGATGAACTCGCGAAGGAGGATGCAGATGCAGATGAAGATGCCCCTGCGGACGCAGTGGAGGGTCCAGCAGCAGTTGGAGCCGGCTGGAAGGGTCTGGGAGCAAGACCGACCCCGAAGAAGGGGTTCTGAGACAGGTTGACATGGCCAGACTGGACTCCATGGGTGCTTCCCGAAGAGGCGGTGGTCCCAAAGGAGCTGGACCCTGAGAACTTGCCCCCAGAGGATCCTTGGCTCAGGAAGGGATTGCCTTGGATGTTGATCGCGACGTGGCTTCCTTGAGAAGATCCCTGAGCGGCTCCACTTCCTTTGCCGAGGTCAAAGGTCCCACTGGCAGAACATCCGTTGCTGGAGCATCCTCCAGAGGGCCTGCCATTAGGTCCAAAAGGACTCTCGGGTCCATTCCACCAGTACTGCAGGGAGCCTTGGCTGGGACCAGCATTCCCGTACCCAGTGGACCCAGATTGACCGACAGTTCCGAGAGAAGCCTGACTGGATCCAGCATTCTCATATCCAGAGGACCCAGATTGACCAACAGTTCCCAAAGAAACCTGGCTGGAGCCAGAAGTTCCATAATGTCCAGATATATGGGACTGGTCAAGGACATTTGACGACTCCTGTCCCACTCCCTGGTATTGTCCTGACTGAGTCTGGCCGATGGAGTTGGACAACCCATTCGAAGCATCCAGTCCGTACAGATTTCCGTTGGATCCGACCTGAGCATTGGAGCTTGCCGAGCTGGATGCAGAGCCTTGAGCAAATCCGTTGGACGCCCCGGATGAGGAACTTCCGAAGGAGGTAGCTACTCCTCCTTTAATTCCGTACGTTTCAGCAGGTTGGAAGGATGAGGAGCTGAAGGACCCTGAAGAGGAGCCAACCTCTCCACCCAGACTCAGGTCTCCGGTTCCAGGGTGACCCAATGAGCCGTATCCAACTTCCGATGGAGATGGCTGGCTGGACGCTCCTGAATAGGATTGACTGGAACTTCCCAGCAACCCTATTGGCACGGCACCGTTCAAGGTACCCGAAGAGTAGCTGCTGCTCTGGCTATGACTTCCTCCACTGGTGCTGTAACCAGAATTCTTGACCCCGCTGTAGGTCTGGCCACCCAGCACCCCTGAGACTTCCACGTTATCCTCGTTCGACTGACTGTAGCTGTTGGAATTCGAACTCGAGGAGGACTTCTTATAGTGATATCCGTCGGCCAAGAGGGTACCATCGGCGATCTTCGAGTAGGGATGACCACTGATGCATGCGGCCAACGCCACTGCACCCAGCAGCATCAGCGAGGTCCCTCTCATCTTGGGCGACCTGGAAAAATTCGAAAAAATGATGTCTCCCCTGGATATATACATATATATAGAAGATGTCCTGGCTGACTGAAAAAAATAGTAGAGGAATTTCCGACTCCATTTTCGCTGTATAAACCATGTCCGCTTTTAAAACACTCTTTTTTAAAAATACGAGGGATTATTCCCTCTGATATGCATGAAATTTCGATTGTTTTTAATTTCTTTATAGACATTTAAAAAAATGTATACAACAAATGAAATTTCATGGGGGTTGACCTTCCTTGTAGCCTCCATATTCACGTTGTAAAGTTTGAAACGATTCGGTGAATCCAGATTGGAGAAAAGTTTTATAAATATTTTGACCTTTCGTATATATAGAACGACCCTTTCATACCACCGTAAGGGGATGGAAAGGGGTAGAGCAGAGAATATACATTTCTAATTCTGCTTGCAGATGTCGAGAACGAAGATCTCTTCCCCATTGTGGATAAGACCATGAAATTGGATAAATTGTCGGGTCAAAATGATGTGCATCTCAACGGGACCTATCATCACCAATCGAAAATTCCTCTCCTTGTAGATGCGTCGCCCGGACGTCGGGGATGTCATTCGTTTTAAGATTTATCGTCCGAGACTGAACTCTGATGCTCGTATTGCGAAATAACGCGAATCCCGCGTCGAGGGGGATAATGAGATGCATTTATACAAAATGGCTTTCGATCGCGACGCATCGCCGAGGAGGAGCGGCGAGATCTTGGAATTGATAACGGGGAATCTGGTTGAAGTAACGAGCCATTTCTCATCCAGGCAGTTTCCCTTTTTATGCCCCGACTGGCTCGAGTATGCTTCGTTTATAAATTGAAACGGTTTATTAATAGCGAAGGTATCTAGAGGCGGTTAGACTCGCCATTTAACGGAGACCCTCGCAACTAGCTCGCCGCATAACAGGCTCGTTAGCAAACACTCTCTAGATATTTCTGTCTCGCCGTTGGACCTTCAACTTGAACGTAATTGAACGGCACGAGACTTGCCTCTTATCCCCTGTTAGCATTAAACGTTAGCGAGGCTTGCTCAGTCAGTCAACAGATGCGCAACGGGATACCTCTGTTAGGTAACTCTCGGAAACTCTTCGCGATGTGACGAATTATCGCACTTCCTTTAAGTCAAGATTAAGCAAAAAAAATAAAAGAAAAAAATTTGCTCAAAAGAACTTTTCCCGTCCTGCAAGAAACGTGAGAAGTTCCTACGAGGAAAAGTTCTCCATACAACAACTAATTTCATATCATTTTTTCCTAATTCATCCTAAAATTAGCCATTGAAAATCTTCAGGTTCGCCCTCGAGGTTGAACTTCAAGTGAAAGGCTTAAAGTTCCAATTTTCAAATTCCATAACGCAGCACCGATAAAAGTCTCCTGAAATTTCCCTATATTTTACACGCCTCATAACAGAAGTTTCACGTCGGAAAGCCTTGAACCGTTAAACCTATAAATTAGAAACAATATAAACGCACCCAACAGGGTAAATTCACCATATCAGTGCATTGTTCTTAGAATTAAATGTAACATTACGTTATATATATATATTTTTTTTTTATGAATTAAGACTTGGACCCTGAATGTGCTCTTACGGAGACAATGTAATTCTCCTGCAATTTACAAATAATTCGAAATAACCAACGATTGAGTACGTCAATTTACATGGGGATTCTTTCAGTGTCAGAGAACTTTTCCTTGAGAGCTTTGAAGAGGGTTCTTGCGGCACTGAACACCTTAAACACGATCGTCACAGTGTACTCTAGGTACTCTTGCACAAATCACACCCCGTGGTCGCGGTAGGCTTCGGTGCATCGGTGCATCGGTGCACCGGGGCGCCTCGACGCCGGCGTCCCGAGCACCGGATGCACCCTCGGAGGACACCATCGGAAGCGACGCCTCGTACTCACCTAATGAAGGAGTCCCTTTAAAAAATGCACGCGTGTTGCTCACAGAAAGTCAGTGTGACTGGCGACGCCTCCACATCCCAGGTTCTCTTATACCATACTCGCGCGATGCGAATCCCCACTATGTGTCCACCCTCCTCCGTCCTTCGAGATCCTATCCTGGACACACTATCGTCCGTTTGCTCTTATGTGCTCTCGTGTGCTCTTATGGGCCACGGGAGTGTGGCTGAATTTCTTCGACCGAGTCATCGAGCTCCTGGCCGAACACGGACACGCAGGAGGTGGATGCGACACCGTGACCTTAGCCTTTTAATCCTGACGACTTATCGACGCCCCATTGACGACCCGTTTGGGTTTTATTGCTTCATTTTCCCTAATCTTGTTTAATTTCACTTAATTTTACTTGATTTTCCTTCATTTTTTATACAGGACCTAGCTCGTCCTGTTTTCGGGTGCATTTATTCAGTGCGTTATTCGATTCGTGGGTATTCATTTTACTCAGCCTTGGAGATAAGAATGATTTTGCAGCTTATCTCTTATGATTTAATAAGTCGTGTCGTATCATAAGTCATCGATAAGAAAATATCGAAAGATGCTTTCTTTGCAGGTGACGATTGGACTGGGAGATCCGCATCTGCGGTTTTGCGGACTTCGAAATGGCCGGTGACGAGCGAACACTTTTCGGACGGTTCATACAAGAGGCGAGTAATTCCTCTGGAATGCCCGAAAAGCGAAGTTCTATTTTTGGTGGACGCGCGACGAGAAAGGATCGCCTTTCAGGAAAGTCCTTTTACTCCTTTGGGTTAGGCCCGTCTTCTGAGCCGACCTTGTCTGGTAGGATTAAATGGCGGAGTCGATCGGAAAAAAGGTAGAACACGATTTGCCCGTACAGGATCGCTCTTTTTGGGCGCGCGTTCCAACGTTGAATTCGTCGATTTTCGCAGTTTCAGATTCCCGAAAATGGAAAACCTCGACCGGTACCCACGCCCGTCCATGGCGTCCGCTCTTCTTCGCCGGCGAAGCAGATCCTCGGCCTCTCCTCAAGATATATTAACCTCCGGATCAATTCTTTGGTTTATGACCTTCGAGGGAACCAACGGATACGCCGTAAATCATCCGACAGGTAGGCGCCACGAAGCCGGTCGTAATTTTTCAATTTCTCAATTTTTTCCGTCCGCGTCCTGCGCCGCCATCTTGGTTTCCACCGATTGCAGAAAATTGCGACGCTTCCATTGAAACGGTCGCGGTTTGTTGGGATTTCAGAGCACGTAGTCCACGAATTCTTCGTTCAGTGACTTTCCTATTTACTCCATCGAGAATCCCGTGGAATAAAAACGGAATAAAAAGCTCCAGGACATTTCGCAATGGCTGCTCATTGTCGCGGTTACAATCGACGCGCTGAAAATATCGCCGGGCGGGAATACGATTGGACGCGTCTCTCTGGCGCGGGGTGCCAAAAATAAGTAATGGATTCCACGGAGTCACTATCTAAATAGATTCATCGAGGTAATATTGAAATTCGCGCCGGTAGGCATTACGTTACCGGGCATTATGCGCACCTCGGTGACACAGCGAGGTGTCAAGGTAGTGATGTAGACTCCATCATTGTTTCCGAACGTGACCATGGCCTCCTACGAGCAGGATTCGTGCCAAGTCGAGAATTCGGTCTCAATATATTCCAGGCCCGAATTTTTCGCCGGCAAAATAAGCCCTGACATGCCTAACAATGGATATTAACTGCACTTCGTCACAGGAGATCAAATTGTAAAGCTAACGCACGATATTCATTTCCCATTCGATCCATAAATTAAATAGACTCGAATTAATCCGCTAATAAATACAGAACGATGACGAGAATTTAAATACTTGTAGTATTTACATTTCAATGTATTTTTTGTCCTGAGTTGTAGAAGAAAAAATTAAGGATCTAGAATCTGTTCTCTGCGGCGCCGCGAATTTCGTCAGTGACTTGAACGCACGCATGAGCAATGTGCACAGATTTCGCTTCCAGAAACATAACTAGCGATTAAGAGACAAAAAAATGAAGAATCTAGAATCTGTTCTCTGTGGCGCCGCGAATTTCGTCGGTGACTTGAACGCGCGCATAAGCGATGCTCCTCTCGCAAAAATTTCGCTTCCGGAAACATAATTAGTGATTCGGCAAGTCCTACGTATTTCAGAAGTCGTGCCTTGGACGAGGCGTCATCAATCTTGATTAGCCTCGGTAATCAAAGGATCAGGAGTCTCTCCTGTAAATCGAGGTGGCGCTTTCGCTATCCCGATTTCGCTTAACAGCCGATTGTCTTCGTTTCGACTTTCGATTTCGGTATTGCCACTCGGCGGGCCAAATCAAGACGCCATCTTGATGCGTCGAACGCATTTCTCTCTTCTAGGATAATAAAGACATATCTCCGGGTTCAATCGAGACGAATTAAAAATCGTTTTCTGTTCCTTTTTCAGAGGTCCGCAAATAACTTCCTGACCGTTAGGCCACGAAATGGCTGGGTTCTTGGTAAACCACTGACGCTGCTGGGAATTCCGGATTCATCAGCAACCAGATCCAACGTTTCCAGCTGAACACTCCCATAGATCTACGCGGATTCTACGTCGGAATTTCGAGCCACAATTAGCCAATCGTCCGATGATCCTGCTGGACCACTAAAAGTATACTCTTGCTCATGAGTTTTACCAGAAACTGCTCATCCATCACTCGAACCGTTAATTCAAAGTTCGAGTAGACACACGAACCCGTTGCCTGTGGATTGTATAATTAATCCTGATTTAGGACTGCTTGGAAAGAAATTACCGAAAAGCTGGATTGCGATTGAAATTGAGATTTGTTAATAATCAGGAGCATGGCTGGATTTACCCAAAGCGTCAAAGATGCAATTATCAGATTGCCCAGGGAGCTTTATTCCATCTTCAATTACTTTAAATAAAATAGAAATTAATATCTGAACCACTATTATTGTTCAAATTACCATAAAGATGTAGATGTCTGCGCTTTAAAACGGTATTCATCATGAATATAATGGAAAGGCAATTTTATTTTTAAAAATGAGGCAAATTTTGAACGGCAATTAAATTGCTCTTACTTTTTCGATAATTTTCTAATAAAATCAGTACCAACCATGGGGTTGCAAATGATAAGTGTTAATGTCTAGATAAACAAATTGGTTATTGTAATTACCATCATAATTAATTTGACGGTTCAGTTATTTAGAGTCGAGATCGGATGGACCAACCTGGACCGATCCGTGTCTTGCCTATGACGTCAGGAGACGTCACGAATCGTGAATCACCAGGTCTACCTAAAGTCAGTACGTGGGCCCTCTCAAGGCTCAACCCACGTAGAATTCCAGCATACTGACAATGACAGTTCTCTGTACCCACCTTTACCAGGATAGGCTCCTGTCTTATGCAATAGTGCGCCGCCCGGCGTTACTATCTCCACTGATCTTCGATTCATGGAAAGAGACCTGCCTTCTTTCAAAGCATCCCTTCAAATCGCACATTCAAAAGGTGCACTATTAAAATGATTCGGTAGACATTTTTTATCGCAAATATGATCATGAATTTTCAACCATGTCACATCAAAATTAGTGCACCGTTAGAACAAAACTCCCGAAAAAATGTATATAATTAGAAAATCCTTTTTTAACAGTGCATTAAAAGGAGGAATCGCACGTGTCCTTTCACTGTAGATCGATTGACATTGATCGGAAGTCCTATCGTCATGCCGTTCCAGGATCAAGGATCTCCTTAAGGGAGACCTTTCCCGGAAAATTGATAGATCACCCTCGGATACGGAAGACACCTGACGTCCGGACAAATGCAAGAAACGCCGACGACGATTACAAGGAAGGTACGTCCAATTTAGACCCGATAAAGACGTGGCGATCGTAGTTCATCGATTCTTCCTAAGCTATCGATTTCGATGGTTATTTATGGCAGTGTGTCGATACGGTAGTCCGAAGGTGACGAGTCGCTGAATCACGCTCTTCTCTGGATCTGGATCAGGATCTGAACCTCTGACGAGCTCGTTCGCAATTGCGTTAATTGCGTAAACGATCTTGTGTGGGTTCGTAGAGCCGGATGAAGGGAAATACTTTCTCGATGGGAACAATCAGTCGGATGATAATTGAACCACTTTGCTGCGGAAATCGCGAACCGGGAAAGGGAACCGAAGCTCCACTTTTGGCCGGACGAAAGAAGGACCCACGAGGCGCCGGAGAAAGTGAACCGGTGGTTTTGTGATTTTTAATGACAAAATCGGGTTCCCTCGATTTCTCGATCGGTATTTCGCCCTCGCGTGTCCGACACTGGACCCGACCGTTCGACACCTTTGATTTGCCATTCCTCTGCACTCGATTCGTCAGGCTTCGTTATGTACCGAGAAAAAAAAAGGCCCAAACCAAAGGAGTACATCTTTTAATGGTACCAAAGAAATATTTTGTTAATTCCGAGGATAATTAGCTGACTCAAATAAATTCACATTACTCCGAATAAGTGTTGCCTCCAATTTATTCCAGTTTATTGGAGGGAAATAATTAATCTTGGAATTAACGAAATATTTCTTTGGTACTCTATTCCAAGAAATAATTTCCTAGATACAAAAAATTTGAGGTATACTTAACTAACAATTTAAAATGCCCATACAAATTAAAACGTCGTTAAGGCATTCGAGCTATGATTCAGGCACTCGAAATCGAACTATTCCCGATGGCTTGTGGTATTTCCCGAGAAAGCGAAGAAATTTTCCGGCTTCGATTATCAAGTGATAATACTTATCGCGGGATCCGAAAGATCCGTCGAGGAATTTCGAATTTTCGCGGGATTGTTGAGCAAGATTGTTACGCAACAAAGGTTCGAGTAGGTGAATTGTTCTCTGGCTGAAGAATTGATTTCGCCGATCAAGACCGAATGTCAATGAGTGACTTCCTCCGTGTCGAATGGGCGCCGATAATGGAATCATTAACCAATGATCGACAGAGAGTGATGGCGGGCTAAGGAGAAATTATGATATTAACCCCTGACCCCGTTCGGACGACGAGCGAAATATTTCATCGAAACGTTTCGTGCGTGTGTCAGTACTGTCGCAACATTGCACTTCGG